AGAACAATAAAAGATGGAATCACCGGAAACACCAGTTGCACCAACACTTTTTCGCTCCCCTCAACCGATGATTATAGGTATATCAAGTGGAACAATGCATACACCAAGCCGTATCGATTTGCAAGTATTTTTTTTCATTTTTTATCTACAATTCAGATTTTAACGCATTTTTTCAAAAAATTTCGACGGATAATTTTGTATGCCCCTTCACGGTAGATTTATGTTTTTGAGCAGATTTTTTTTGATAGGAATAGATAGGTATGAGGAGATTTCAGTCATTTTCTAGCCACGAATATCCGTTTATATTTTTGAAAGATGGATTATGTCGTCTGTAACAAAAGTTATAAGAGAAAAGAGAAGAGATTTTTGAGGTTTTTAAACTTTCTTTCCGGAGTACAATTTCTTGAATTTCATCTGTTACTTTTTTATCCAAATCTTGAGGTGACGACAAGAAATATTTCCCTGAAGTAGTGTCTTTACTGAGATGATCCTTTTGCAAATGCTTATGTCTCTTCCAGAGAGATTACCCCATGAAGCTCATTTTCTTTATTTTAGTTTATTTATTTATTTTTTTGCTACTTATCTTTTCTTGCTTCACTATGTGGAAGTAATTATCAGATAAATTCAGCTTTCTTTTTCTTTTAGAAGGCTTTGCTGTCGAAGACACTTGTCAATAATCCATCAACTTCGCATGCATGTGAATCATTGAGTGATAATATCCCTGATCGGCCAGAAATATTTTCCCAGCCAAAAAGGAAATCACGCTCTGTTGCTGACATCTTCGCTAGTTTTAACACTGATAACAGTTAGTCTTTCGTATCTGTAAATCAGTTTTAACTTTTTTTGACAAGATTTGTGTGTAAATTTTTTATGAAAATATTATTGTTACTTGGTGCTATGAATTATTTACCTTAAATTTATTTGATATAAATGTGGACACTACAATTTTATCTTTCGCTAGGCGTGATGGATTTACTACAGAGAATTTATTAATAAAGTCTGTACGTAATGAGCACTGTTGTCTATTGTTGAAATTAATGTAACAAAACGAATCAGTACAGATGATGTTCGATTTCGTCATGATGATCTGAAACCGCAGAAGTCAATTGTGGTTGAATCAAATTATGATTACACCCCAAAACGAAAAGATGAATTGAAATTGAAGCGTGGAGCAACGATCAAAGTGATACGTCGAGATGGGTTAGAGCAATATTTTTGTTTTTTCTTTGGTATTATCATCATTTTATTTCAGTCACCGATGATCAGGCTGATAACCTAGTAGTATAATAGCTACAGTACTTGATTTAGAAAAGCTTGATTTCAAGCCTATAATATGAAACGTGCAATTGCTTATTTTTACTGAAGGTATATTATTTTTTTGTTCACTTAATAAGAACCTAAATGGAATGAAGGGCTGTTTATGGAATATTTTGTGACTAATATTACTGACATCACGACGTTAGTCGGAATATCGAAACTGAAGTGGAAGATTGAAATTCTTATTTTTTAGAGAAGAAGGTTGGTGGTATGGCGAAAAATTAGATGGCAGTGGAAAGAAAGGATTTTTTCCACAAAATCATGTGCAACTAGCGAAAGGTTTGGCGAAAGAAATCGATTCAAACGATATTAAGTTTACTGGTTTGCTGGGAGCCGGTGGTTTTTCAGTTGTAAAATCAGCAATTTACAAAGGAAGAGTAAGAATTGTTCATAACACTTATCGAATTTTTTTCTTTGAAATAAAAAGAACAAAAAGAAAAAGATTTTATATATTGTCATGATTGTTTTTGTTGGCGCCAAATGCGTAAGGTTTGTGAATTACCGTTACTGAGGGTTATGAATGATATTTTCATCTGTATGTTTTCTAATGTATGGCTATCATTTTTCGTTGTATTTTAGACACAGGAGAATTTGTAACGCTTATTATCTCATGCTGGCATAAGTTGCTGTTAAATGGGTTGATTTTTTTTTTCGAATGCTTAAGAAGTCTGTTAAATATTTGAATATTCTTTGCAGGAAGTAGCTGTGAAAATTCCACATTCAAAATTTAGCAAAAAAGAGATATTGGAAGGTGAGTTGTTGTTAAATTTAAAAATTCTGTTCAGTTTTGTGCAAGCAAAATGTTTGCACAAAATTGAACAGAATTTTTAAAAAATTACATACTTACATTAAATTCATAAAGCTAAAATGTGAAAATAAAAAGATTACCTTTGAAATAATATTCAGCTAGCAGTGTTGACTGTCGATTGATAAATGTGTCGTATGTGTTATTTATTGTTGGAGATAATTTTTTTATTTCCTTATGTTGTTTTTAATACGAAAACAAAGAGGAAAAAAGGTTCAGGATAACAAAAGAATTTCACTTTATGGAATGATAAGATCTTCTTGAGCTTTTTTTATATCTAATGCTAGTCTAAATGTTTTAGCAGTTCGTGAAGAGGCCAGTATTTTTCAAATGTTGGATCATGGAAATATTGTTGAAATGTATGGTGTTATTGTTGGCAATGAACCTGCATTAGTTCTCGAGCTTTGTAGAGGTTAGCTATTAATTTCGGCTGTTTACTTCTTATATTTTGTAATTTTTATAGGCTGCAATGCTTTATCGAATGATTGGACTTTTTGCTGTGATTTTTACAGTAATATGTGTTCTTTAGATTCATTGGCAAAAATATGTTCTAGTAAGAAGAACATATCACTTTCGGAAGAAATCATAAGTAATTGGGGCGTACAAGTTGCTCGTGGAATGAGCTATTTGCATAGCTTAAATGTTCTTCATAGAGATTTGAAAGCGGCCAATGGTAATTGTTTTTGTTTTATTAGAAATTATTTTTACTCCATTTATGAGCACTAGAACTACGAATTTTTCGGAAACCTATATTTTTAGTAACTGGCATCGTAAATTATTACAATAAATTTTTTGATACCGGGTATGCCAGTGGCTATGAATTTCTACGAAAAAAAATTATATACACTTATAATGATACCGAATATGCCAATAATTACGAATTTCTATGAATTGTAGGAATTCGTAGTTATTGACGTACTCGGTATCATTATAAGTGCTTTTAATGGACTGGAAAAATTCAGTATATATTTTAAACTGTATTTTATTATGCTGTGAGAATGCTTTTCCTCAACTAAAAAATTTCCATGGTTTAAATGATAGAGTGATAGAATGGGATACCTAAGGTCTTGTTTTGCTCAGTCCACTATCATTTTTCAATTTTCTAAAAATTATTTAGAAAAAATTTTTTTTTATGTTTCTCAAATAAAAATGTAAATTTTCAGTCCTGATCAAGGAAAAAGTTTGCGACTGTTTGTTGAATGTGGAGGCGAGTACCGATGAACAATTGGCTCACTCACTACAAGCCAAGAATGGTGTTTGCCAAAAGTGTGATGGTTCTGCATTAAATTGTCTTACTTTAAAAATTGCTGATCTTGGTTTGTCGAAAAAGTTGAGAGTTGCTGATTGCAGGTCCGGTTTCATTCAAATTTTATGAAAAAATTAAAATTTTTCATTTATTAGTCACTTAATTTGTTCAAATTTAGTTCACTTTGCATAAAATACGGGAAAGTTGTATTAAAAGATCAGGAAACTATGATTTTTTGAAATTCAGTAATGGAAATTTAACATTTCTAAAAAAATTCAATTCTTCAGGATGAGCGTTGTGGGTACGGTACCTTATCTTGCACCAGAAGTAATCCGTGATCGTAAATGTTCCAAAGCGATGGATGTTTGGAGTTTTGGTCTCGTTCTTTGGGAGGTATTAACCGGTGCAACGCCTTTCGAAGGCTTGGGTCCTGGGGCAGTGCAATTACAGGTTCAATCTGTCTCCATTATAATTTTTTTTATTGGCAGTATATCATGCAGTCAACAAACGTATGTGAATCGTTGATAAATATTTCTAGATTGGAACGTTCGTAAAACAAAAAATCCCTTCGTCATGTCCACCAGATTTGAGGCTAATAATTGAAAGTTGTTGGCGTGACGATCCACTGGAGAGGCCAACATTCAAAGAATTAATTGTTGAATTGAAGAAATTTGGCGACAAATTCCGAACAACGGATCCACATGATCAGACAGTAGGGTCTTGTGAAAGTTTTTTGAAGTATTGAAAATGTAGTTTTCAGTAAAATTGTCATAATGATCTCCTCAAATGGATTAAACGGAACGGTGTAAGCTCCATTTAATCCATTTCATGACATTCTGAATTTTCTTCGGGAGCCTTAAATGTATGATGTGTTCGCTACGTCGAAGTCATCATCATGTTTTGCTCAAAATCATCAAATTGTATAATTATTTAATCCCGCAGAAACATATCATTAGTTACTTTCGCAATTCTTAGTTTTTGGAGAGCAGTTTGAACACGCTACGGAAAAGTATGATGGAAGAAATATCAGCAATTGCAAGCGAAATGGCTCGAAAAGCAGAAGAATTACAAAAACGCGAAGAAAAGTAAATCTCCCTTGGAATTTTTTTGGGGAATGTCTCCTGGTTTCTTAATTCAAGGATTAATGGCATTTTCATGTAATCATTTTTTACAGCTTAAAAAAAGGTGAAAGAGAATTGAAGCTTAAAACGATGATTTTCGAATTGCAACAGACGTTGTCAGAAAGGCCTCCAAAAGAAAAACCGCAACCACCAAAAAGACGCCAACATCTGAAGTGCGAGGATATTTCCAAACCATACGGTATAATTTTTCGAATTCTTCGAATTATATATATAAGTAACTATGTAGCTATTTTATGAAAAGTGATACAATTTGGGGTTCAATATAAGTCACAATAAAGTTACGCTTTCATTTGCATTGGAAGGGATTTTTGTCGTTTTGAATCGAAAATTATTATACTGAACAATGCTGAGAACTATTTCATTACTACCTTGGTAGCGAGTAAACATAGTAAAGTTATTTTTAGATCTGAAAACTGAGATTTCATTAACGAAGAATATGCAAATGATCGAATGTAAGTGTTTGTTTTATGGAATACTATTTATATTTTGATTTTAACAATGTAAAATTAGCAATATTTTATTTCACTGACTGTTTTCTGTTGTGAAATGTTGGTGCGGTATCGTTGTTTCATATTGGATATTAGTTACACAAGATTTTATGCGGTAAAAGTTTCACGACTTCCGTGTTACTGAATTTAGTGTAAATAATGTTAGTCACAGTGATGGCGTTGGTAAGACGTTAAAAATGTCGATACATGGCTATTCATTTAATGGATGTGGCTGAGATTTACTGGTTATCGTATGTGATATTGAAAATTGTGTTTGGTGTTCGTGAACTTATATTTTTAGCTCTTAACAAAGATGCTGAAACAGGAAGGGATTTGAACGATATCAGAATAAACGGTTCAACGGATCAGTTATCTGCGGTATCTAACACTAAGCATGTTGAAGATACCTGTTTAGGATTTGCTACACTTCCGCGAATCCCAAAAAAATTTACATTGAAAAATGAAAATTTCGATTGTACTAAATGTCACCCAGTGCAGCAACGAGTACCATCAAAGAGCACGCCGGATCTTTTAAAGCTTTATCGCCTGCCAGTTCATAACGCAAGTCCGAAGTTGAAGCGTGTCAATGCGTGTAAAGTAAAACGTGACTCAGTTCGTACTGGTGCTGAGGAAGAGGTGGACGAGCGGTGTGTGGAAGTTATAAATGATAAAGGTTGGTTAATTGTAACTCTGTGGTACAGACCTTTGTTTCTTTTTTGCGCTAAATCCTGTCAATCTTAAAAAATTTGGACGCATGTTGAATATTTTCTCCACTTTCTTAATTCATTTTATTTGTTGTGATTATTTAGGGCTTAGCCCTAAGACGGCGTACTATAATAGATAACAACAATGTCGATTTTGAGGCAAGTGAAATTGTGCTGTTGGATGTAATAAGTGTCTTTTTCAGTTCCGTTTTTTCTGGCTCGTAAATAAGCTGATCAAATCTGTACTCCCTATTTCTTTCAGTTGAGAAAAGAAAATTATGGAATAAAGATTCTATCATGCCAATATTACAGATCTGGAAAGTCTTCTTGAAACTACTCATCAGCAACCAAAAACTTTCTTGGATCATTTAGCAACACCACGGCGTGTCGTACAATTACCACCACCAACGAAGAAGTTGGCTGCCGATCATCACATTAGGTATGCCCTCTTTTTTATCGTTCACATTTTTTTAAATTTCGGATGAACTTTTCATACATCCACAGTTTGCAATTTAACTTTCCCCGCACCTTTATATATATGAATAAATCTATAATTGAGGAAGAAGGAGCAATTTTGTTTTTGTGGTAATCTTCCTATGTTGAAATTTCACGCAGCTGAAGAATATCACAGCTGATTATTTTTATCTTCCTTCGATTATCAGATTAATAAGGAGAAAGATTTCTAGGTCCAATTCGACAACTGATGAGCGAACACGGTCTAAATTAAACAAAGAAGAAGATCGTGGATTCTTTCGTAACATTTTCAAACGTGATACTAAGGGTCGAAGTGGTGCGTATCTGCAAGTTTTAGAAGCATTTTTAACTTCTGTTAGGATTTATTGAACATCCCATGTAGCGATAGAATGGACTACTCAGTTGTCTTCACCATATACATTTGTTTTGATTTAGGATAATTCATTTGTTATCACTTAGGATAATCTACCCGCAGAAAGGTAGAATATTTATCAACAACCATACCGTTAATCTAAGAAATAAAACATGTAATCTACACTGCTGTACTTTTAATTCCAAAATGTTGAGATTCTTTTTGATTCATTGTTTGGAAAATGAAAATATGTTTGAACGGTTTCTTTATTTTAAAGTTACATTTGCTTTCTCTCACCATATCTGGTTTTGTAGGACGAGTTGCTGGAACACTGCCGAAATCCATGCTTGTACGATCACCTTTGGGTCCATCTACCATCGGATCATCCACAATTTTGAAAGTAATTATGACAATTGAAAAGAACTTTAGTTGGAGATTTGAGTATGTATGATAATAAATATAAATAGACTTTTGAATTTTCAGACTGATTCTTGAAGTTCAGATCAAGATGTGCTGCTAACTTCATTATTATTACTATGTTTTTATAACAAAACTAAATAATTTCCAGGATTTCATTTTGTAAAAGCTTATTTATTAACAAATTTTGTATAGTTATAAAAAGAAAATTCATAAATTGCAGCATGTGACACCGTCCAAACATACTAGAATAAAAAGCCCAACGAAACCATCATTATTAAAAGCTGGAAAGTAGGTTTTTTTTTGAGTTCCTTTTTTTCATGCTTACTTTATGACTTTGATGGAGAGAAAATTTGATGTCCTAGCTGTATAAGGAGATTGAACACTTTGTTTTTATATGATATTTTGATATGAATTATTTATGACAACACTGATCTATTTATGACTTCTATATTGTTATTTCTGATTGTTTTCTTTGAGTTTTATCTAGTGGCTTTTTCTTTACATATTCTTTGCAATTTTATAGAAAGTCGAGTAGAATGGATATAAAGATGGAACTATGATTTAGTGTAACTCTAAATAGTAAATCATGTGGGAAATAGCTTTTATTTCAGGAAGAAAAAATATTCAGCTGATGCACAAAGTGACAAATATGACTTGACCGAGAATTCGAAGTAAATGTTTACTTTGAATTTCGAAGTTAGTCTAACTGGTTATTGCACATTAATAATTTAAATTCTTTCTTGAAGCTTCTCAAAGTATTAAATTGCGGTTGTCGCGTAATATCGATCAGTTGTTGCAGAACATTTGTGAAATGTGGTGAACGGCGAATCAATGTTACTTCATCGCAAACTAGTGCTGTATATCCGGTTAGCAGCAGTCCCATGTCAGTTTATTGTTCGGCCGATGAATTATACTGTGGAAAACGAGCACCTTATGAGAAATTATTGGAAGCGTCAGATCCAACAACTATGGAAAATCCATTATATATTCTGCCAAGAAATTTTCCACCACGTGATCGGGCATCGACATCTACATCTCGGATTTTCTTCAGGTAGGTTTTATTCTAATTCTCAGATTACGGAAAAATCGGTCAGAAGTGAATTAAAATACTGTAAAAGGTGGTATCATAGATGACGTTGATATAGGTAACAAGCTAATGGTTGCATTAAGTGATCATTTTCTCTGTAATCAGTGGAATTGCTTTCTTGCTTCTACGGTTTTTTTCATTCTATCATATGAATCACTTCTTTTAGCGGAACTCCTCAACGTACCTCTAAAAGTCCTTCTATTTCTACTGATGACCGGTTTAGTAACAGTGGTCTGAATACAATTGAAAATCTTTCATATAAACCGCCGAATGAAATGAATGTTTCACGCAATACCATGACGCAAAGTAAGTTTTATATTATTTAAATAATATTTAGCAAGAGATTTTTCATAAAAGTCGCAGTACACTAAATAGATCACATTTGCTCTCTAAAATTGATTTGTTATGGAATGTTTGATATGTGCCATTTTTATCATTAAGAATGAAATATTAGCTTCAATTTCGATGATTGTTATTTTCGAAAGTAGCTTTATTTACCTTCCAATGATGATTTTGTTGAAAATATTATAGATTTTCTTTTTGTAATGACATGTTAAGATGCACAATTGAAAAGTTCTCAATAGTAAAAGCATATCTGTGTAAAGAAGGTTGATGTAATTTCTTCATTCTAAAAATTTATTTTATCTATTCATATATAGAAAACTATTCTTCAGTTACCTTGGATAGTCCTGTTGAGGGAGGTATAGATATGAATGCTACAAAGCGTTCGTTCAATTCACTCAATAGTGAAACTGGTTTGTTTCCAATAATATTCTATTTTCAGTTTTTGCTTCAATTAGATATTTTTTCCAATAATGTAGTGTGCAATTATCTGAAGAAAACAGCAATTTTTATACAGCATTGAGTATATTAATGCATTTTGGAAAAGACTAATTTTTTTAGATATTCTTAAAAGGAAATGAGATTTTTTTCAGCTTCATTTTGTGAAGATTCATCATCACATGGTGTAGTATTAAATGCTAGCGATTTATATATGCCTATGTCAAGAATTGAGCAAAATGTGGTATATTTTTGATTAAAATTGATAGTACTCAAAATTTAATGCCCGTTCTGAGCCAATAGTTTTAAGGTTTTGAATTATCCCAGAACTGTCGATATCGATAAAAGAGTTAAAATAATCGTTAAAGATAGTCTTTCCTGAATTAAATTAACTGTAATAATGTGTCGAATAGCAGTAAGTTAGAAATCGAATGTTATTTTTTTTTATAGTTAAGTGTATCCCCGCGATTTTCTGACCAATGTAGCGATCAGAAAGGAAATTATGTTCATGATGATGCAGTTCATTATATTGTTGATAGGTGAGGTTTTGCAGTTATTTTTGTAATCTAAAAAGAAAAATCAAAAGAAACGCCACTTGTTTTGGTGCGTACAGACACAAAAAAGCTTTACATGATATAGCTTGGTGAAAAATGAGAAATGAGGATTTCTTCTCTGAGAGCGATACAATTTATTGAATTTGTCCGACAAATATATTTCTTCAGTTTAATATCGCGTCAAATTATATCACTGTTGCAGTGCACAGGTTGGATGTGAGCATCCACCTGAGATGCAGGCACCAATCTTACCTGGAGCAACTGTTGGATATCGACCACAACGACCGTACACATTGGATCTCACTTCGCCACTCACTCCTGCTGAAAGTGGGATAAGCACTGCAGGAAGTTCATATCGTAGTTTTTCAAGTACCGATCAAGGACCACAAGATCATGCTCCACCACCTTGTGTGGATTCCGGTCGGACTTTTTTCACCAAATTATATTATGGTCTTTGATTAGAAAGCATTATTATTTATTTGCGTAGAATGAAGTACTTCGTTTATTTAAAGGCGTGCGCAGATTAGCTGTAAATGCAATGTGCATAGTAAAGATATCAATTATGGATACGAATTTTTATGGAAATTCTCCATTTTCATGACAGCATTAGATATTTTCCAGCTCCACGCCTGGCCCCACCGATACCACCAAGAAATAATTCAAGGCGCCCTGAAGATGAAGCTACAGCTTTGCAACGTCAACGATTAAGTCCTGTTTCGCAGTCACCTTAGAAGTTAATGTTGATATTAGCTTGGAAGCGGAATTGCACTGTGTCTTTGATTTTCAACGTAACCTCCAGTGATGCTAAAGCTTATTCTTTGTTTTCTTTTTTTCGCTTGTTTGTTTGTAAAGATTAACCAATGTGTTGTGTAATTTGTCACTTGAAGTCATTCCGTATTATGCGCTAATTCAATGGAATGTTTTTCGGTATAAAATGACGAACGATTCTTTCTCCTTTTCCCCTTCTATTCCATTTCATTCTTCCAAATAAGTAGAGATTCGGAAGTTGGAACTGGGCCATAAATTGAGAATCATTCATTGCAGTTCCCATCGCTGATGATATCAACTGCCTTGCACCTTTTTACTCGCATATGTAGCGCTTTACTTGTTATCAGTGCAGCTTTTTTTTTTTGATTTGTTCACTATTTTCTGTCGCTTTCTTATTTTTGTTCAGTTTTGTGATTAATGAAATCCGGTTTCGCAGGTGAAGAATTTTTTTATTGATTTGTAAATTGAAAGTAATTAAACTTCTAACAGCAGAATAGGAAGAAAAATAATATTTGGCACAGTTTTACATCATTTTCTTTTTGGAAATACTAAGTGGTAGTTAGGATGTTATCATTAAAATCACCAATAAATTTATCAATTGGAACACCGTAAACTATCGTCATTAAACAGACTTCCTTCTCTATACAATTATTACAGTAGTTTTGATCCCGGCTTTTATTCGTTCAACTAGCAATGTTTAGTTCATTTCAATACACCACTATCGGACGTAACTATTTCAGATCACTTTTACTTTAGAGCTAAGGGCGAGACTTCATTTAGCATGAATTTGATGCAATTTGTTCTAAGAAATGAAAAATTTTATCTTCCCTTTTGGATATTTTTTGGCTTTTCCTGATAAGCCGGTAAAGCAATGCAGGTTTACATGGAATGTCACTGGTAAGCAAAATGTGCTTATTTTCTTTCCAGTGCTGAGCAATGTGCGACGATTAATCATCATTTGTTGCTGTTTGCCTTTTTTTTTACTGTTTGGTGCATCACAAAATGTGATTTTAAAAAAGAAAGAAAAACTGGTCGATTATTTTGTGACACACAGCTATGTTTATTAATGCAGGTGTAATAGGATTGTTATAGATAAATTTTAAATTAGCAAAGTTGCTGTTGCTTTTTTCATCACATATTTTCAAGAGGAGATCATATGATATCATATATGATATCTGATATCTGTATTTCAACTTATGAAGATCTTAATTGTAATAAACAATTATCCATATTCTCTTTGATACTTTTAGTTGTTATCTTTTGCAGAAAGCATTATCATTCGTCTGATGATAAACCGATAGATACATTTTGTATCATTTTGTTGATATAGTTTTTTTTTTTTTTGATATTCCTATACAATAAGTTTATAGCATATGTATATATAATGACTTCATTTACAATTCTGAATATGGCTAATGGATGCGAGTGTTTACTTCGCTGCATACGCTGCATACGCTGGTCACTCGGTCTCAATTTGCATTTCTCTGAATTATATAATTTTATTGAAATGTAATATAAAGTATTCATTCGCCTTTTTTATTCAGATAGATAAATGGCTTAGTAATTAATACATCATTTATCGTTTTGTGTCGTTTCCAATTCTTGTTTATTTCATTCATTATTGTAATTTTTGCTTGTTATGTTATCATTTTTATGCAGATTTCAATTAAAGATTTTTTTTCAGCTTTTCAAGATTAAAACAGGATGAATAGCGTAACTGTTATTTGTCCTAATTCTCGTCGTTGTGTGGTAAAAGTAACACCATCAACCCAACTTCGTAAGGTTTGGTTCTATATATTTTATCATAAGTTGTAAGAACGATATTATTGCTGGTGAAAAACAGGGGATTTATCAGTAAATTTTAATTTTCTTTAATGAGTTTGTTCCATCAAATATTAATAGCTTAATAGCTTCGACGTTCTGTAGCAAAAAAAATAAATTGAGAAGCTAATCTTCTTTTCAATTATTCATTAATGTTCGTTTTTATCATATATATATTGGATGACAAGTTTTTTTTTGTCTTATGTATTATGTAAATTTAGCGATTTTGTAGATTAGCAATCGCATTACTGGATGTGTAACTTTGAGTGTTTTTTTCCCTATTTTATTTTCTTTAGTATTAAGAATTTCTTCAGATTTTGGAAGAAGCTTGTCTGAAGCAAGGTTTCGATATATCGACACATCATTTAAAGCATCAGAATCATACATTAGATTTAGCATTACCATTCCGCCTCACTGGTTTACCTAATAATGCTACTGTTGAGATGGTGCAAAGTACGAACGTTGTTGGTGGAGTTCCAGTACAAATTCATATTGCCTTACAAGTATGTCTTTGAGTTTAATCGATTGATCTCTGGTAAAATTGTTGGATGATTGTATCTGATACAGGGAGATACATATGTTTTCGTCTTTCATGTATCACAATATCAAATATTTGAATATGCAATATTATAAGTATTAAGTTTGCGATGAAATAATAATATTAGTCTTGGTCCTCCAAGACACATGTAAACTTTCCTGAAACATTACATAAAAATGACTCAATAGTTTAGCTAACTATTGAATCATAGCTAAAGTTCACT